GAAACCTTTCTTTCCATGGATAATCCCAATAAGTCATTTATATTCAGAATCAAAATCATATGGTTGTTGACCAGTGATTACCAATTTCATAACAAAATGTTAAAATACAAAGAAATGTGAGTTATCATACAAAGGAAGTCAGTTATATGTTTTTTTTAAATTTTTATTGGTTTTTAAAAACAAACATAAACAAACAAAACATAAAAACATCAAGCTATCTTCCATATGTGTACATACAGTGTGCCGGTTGGTTTACAAATCGTTTTGTGCTTCCATTTCGTAGTCTTCAATTACAATTACATTGCATATGATCTCATATTTTCAATCAAAAATTAAATACCTTAGTATCATTATTAATCAATCATTTGACTATACTTTTATTCATTCATGTTTTACAAGATAATCATAATTTACTTAGTTTATTTTATAACAGTTCATATTATCATCCCAAATCTATCCTAAAATCATTTTGCAGATATAATTAGAAAGAACTACATCTATATATATTTATTATTTTCTAAAGGTCTACATATTTCATTACTGTATTTTATTGTCTAACTGTTGATAGAAAAGATCCCAAATTTTATAAAATTGTTTATCCTCTTGTTCTCTAATTTCAAATGTCAATCTACTCATTTCAGCACATTCCAATATTTTCTTAATAATTTCCTCCTGTGATGGTATTTTCTCATTTTTCCAGTTTTTAGCAAATACAATCCTAGCCGCTGTTAATACATTTACAATCAGGTATTTCAAGTCTTTGAAAAATATTTGGATGGAGAACAGAAGAAGGAAGTCAGTTATATTTTTCATAATCATGAGTCTATTGTGGATGTCTAGGTACCTATTGTATAGCTGCAAAAAATCTTCTATAAATGAAGCCTTAATCATATTAATACAGCAGTTCTATACATAGAGATTAAAAAATTAGTTTCATGTATAGGATTGTTGTATTAAAATCCAAGTAGGCTTATTATTGTCAGTGTTTCCTATATTGTTAAGTTAGGTTCATGTGTCATCTGGTCATCAAAATCTCTTTAATGAAATAAACTGTTATAAAGCAAAGAACCCTGACTTCACTGTACTTTTTAAAACCAATGTTTCAAATAACAGGTTTGTCAATTAACAGATAAGCAAATATGCCATTTGGTGAAAATGATTCGGGATTTCTCACTTCTCTTTTATAAGGTAGGTAAAAAAAAATTTTCTAAGAGTTGGGCAAAATGAAAAAAAAATGTAGCTTTAAAGTAACTGCTACTTAAAATTTTCAGTATTATTCCACCAATTGATAAGAAGATTTTTTGTACCTGGTATATTGTTCAATACAACCCTGTTTAATTTTTTTTAGGACATAGTGTTTAAAAATGTGTGAATTTATACATTAAAAAATAGTGAAAGTAGCCTTTTTGGAAATATGTCTTTGGATACCATCCTATGATGTAATATTCCAAATGTAATATTCCAAACCATCAAAGATTACTTTTCTGAAGTTTGCACTTCCAAATGAAGGATTCTAACCTAGTCTTAAATATGATGTTTTACGTTTGAATTTTTATTAGACCAGAGATATGTAATTTTTAAAAACGTTCACAGGCTGCACATGTTGTACTCTATTAAATTTAGTGATTGGAGAAATGCTACTTAACCCATGATCTCCTGGACAATGTTTAGAGGATTTTAATGCAGCTGAGAAATATCACTAGTAAACCTCTTCCCCCTGAAAGAGGAAAAGAAAAGAATAAATAATTTATTTATTTTGCCCAGTACACCTAAAAATAAAAGTTTTTCAATTTATTTGTAAATTCTTTCCAGTTATTACAAGATAAATATTATTTTTGATACATAAATAATAATTGTCTGTTCCAGTGTCACAAAATGAAAATGGCAATAAATAAACACTATAGAGTGTATAAACGTCCCACTTGCCGCCAATGCAGTGGAAAGATCACAGTATGTCGATTAGGAGAGAACAACAGAATGACCTATTTCTGCTCACAGTGCCAGAACGACAAACCTCAGCCTGGGGATTTGAGGTAAGTTTTTACAAGTAGTTCACTCAGTGACTGTTCAAAGTTACAGTGGCACTGAAAAAAAATGACCGTTTTTCACAATTACCCTTCTTCTGGGTCCTACTAGGTGTATCTCCATCAACTATAAGTCTGGGGAATTCCACCACCAGCCCTGCGGTGAGGTCCAGGATCCCAGGTAGGGAAGCTGCCACGCAGCATGGAGGCTGGTATAGCAGCAGCAATCCCACCTGATCCCTTGAACCCAACCTGAGAAAAAGGGTCCCACAGCTGGGCACTTGTGGAACAGTGCCTCTGGAGGCTACTAGAGGTTCTCTGATAACAACAGCCACACCTCCTCCCCGGCCCTGAGGTCTAGATTGGTGCCATGCTCAATAACCCACTGGACACATTTCTACAAGGGGAACACCTCCCTTTGGGCCCAGCCAGGTCTCAGCTATACAAGCCAGATCAGCCTTCTTTTCGAGGATCAAATCGAGGATCTGACGTTTAAAAGCAACAGTCTAAGACAGGGCCACCACAGATTTTGCAACCTTCTGAAATGGGGAAACCAGATTCACTTAACTATGTTACTACCATGTTTCTCACAAAATAAGGCCGGGCCTTTTTTTTTTTTTTTTGACCCCCGAAAAAATGGCGGTGACAGCTTGGATTTTGACCTCAGCATTGGTGGGGCACTTCATATTGGGAGACCTTCTGCCACCATTGCTTTCCCTTCTCCCTGTGCTGCCGCAGAGTTTAGAGCAACACCGTGGCGTTTGGTGCAGCCACACACGGCCAGCCAGGGCTCCTCCCTGCAACCGGAGCCCAGCGGAGACACTCGGCTTCAGGTGCTCCTGTCACCGCTGCCAGGGCCGTGCCAGAGCCGTGTGGGCTGGGCAGAGCCGGGAAAGCGAGCCGCGGGTGCGCACCCGCCTGCCAAACGAAAGAGCCAGGCTAACCCGAGCTTGGCTTCCTTCCCAAGTCCCTCCAGCCCGAACCCGAAGGGGCCACCAGGAGAGGCCACCCAAGGCAGTGATAGCGTCCACCCATCCGTGGACAGGGAGGCAAGGTGACAGCCTGTGCCGCGTCCTCCTCTGAGCTGAGCCCCGCCAAGTGAGCTGAGCCCCGCCAAGTGAGCAACATTTGGAGCTGCCGGCGCATTTGGAGATGCGTGGGGATGGGCTGGGCGAGGGGTGGAAAGGATGGGTGGCTTTGGCTCTCTCCGCCGGACCCTCCGGCCAGGGAAGGAGCGCTGCCGTCACCTCGCCTCCCTGTCCGTGGATTTTATGCCTATAAAACATGCTGGGACTTCCTATTTGGGGAGGCTGTATTGTTGGAGAAACATGGTAATTTAACAACTGCAGTGATTCACTTGCCAACTGTGGCATGAAAGTTCGGAAAATGGGGTAAAACTTAACTGTCTTGCTTAGCAACAGAAATTTGGGGCTCAATTGAGGTCGTATGTCTAGGACTACCTTACTACCTTTAAAAGCATTTCACAATTTATCTCAGTACAATTTAATATTTGAATTTTAAGGGGATTTTTTTTCTCCCTCTTCCCATATTATTTAAGTTGTCTGTTTAACCAGTGAAATCATAGGAGCTTATATTGAACCATTACAACTGAATGGGATAGGAATGGAACAGAACAGAACAGAATAGAATCCTATATTGCTTACGTGTGATTGGACACACAAGGAATTTGTTTCCAGTGCATAATCTGTACAGAAGTAGACAATTCTCCATTTGCCAAGATAGAGCCATAAATATTCAACAATAATTTTGATAATGTATGTTTTTGATTTTTTTCTTTAAAGAAAATCAAGTGAGCTCTGAAGAATAACACTAGTCCTCTTCCTTTCACTGAATATCCAAGCTGGGGAACTTAGCAGAAGACCATTTTTCTTACAAATGGCCAAATTAAATATCGGGCAAAATCCAACTGATTTGTTGGGAAAGGCTCGTTGTTCAAGGCTATCAAAATCCTTCTGAACCTTGAGTCTTTCCCTCAGCCTTTCCCTTTTATAGTTATATAAGCCTTTATAAAAATGTTGACAGGCCCATGACAGAACTCAAGTACACTGCATAATTCTTTCCATATAGCACTGAACCATTCATTGAATATGGTTGTTCAACCAACTGAATCTATCTGGCAGTAAATTTCTCCTTCCTTCATCCCACAGCATACAGCCAAGAACAAATAGTTTAAGTGACTGGCCATTCAACAGGGAGCCTAGTTCTAGAGAAGTTGCTCAAAAGTCAGAAGAGGAGTGGGCCTGCATACTCTGTACTCTAATAAACAAGCCTTCTGTGAAAATATGTGATGCGTGCCTGACAACACGGCCCGAAGGTATGTTTTTGAGTCTGTTTGCGTCTCTATGTAATGTAACACCAATAACCTGATTATTTTTATTTTCACATGTAACATGTTTAATATGAATTAACACATTAGGATTTCAGTTCTACATTGTGATTGTGTTGTTTTATCTGATAGTTCAGTCTAAATCAGGAGTCGCCAGCCTTTTGGACCTCAGGGACCACCAAACTCATCATTTTAAATCCCGTGGACCAGAGACCCTGGGAAAATCCCCAAAAAAGTCTGCAGGAAAATTCCCACCCCAATTTCCTACAAATCGATCATTCTTTATTTGGGAGCGCAGGATACCATCTCCATCTCTGTTCTCAGGGGGAGGGGGAGAGAGAGAGAGACTTTTGGCTTAATGCAAGGAAAGCAGAAAGAAGCAGCAGAAGTCTTTCTTTCTCTCCCCCAAACTCCGCCAGAAATGAGTCTTTGTGAGACTTGTTGCGTTGGTGCAGCCTCTTAGAACAGGATGCAGTGTCCCAAAGACTCATTTCTGGTGGAGCTTGGGGGAGAGAAAGAAAGATCTTTGCTGCTTTCCTTGTGTGCAGCCAAAAACAGAAGAAGAAAGAAGCAAAAAGAAGCAGTCCGGTGGCCAGGCCAGGCGTGTGGGATGAGTGGGGCAAGTTTCCCCCCTCCACCTTTTTCCTCCTCCCCTCACTACCTCGTGTTGTTCGCAATGCAAGTGACACAAGCCTTGTGTTCCCTCGGGCCATGTGGGCGGCGCAGCCTTATATTCCCACACAGCCTGGATTAATTGCTTTGGGGAGGTGCTTTGAGGGTGACATTTCTCTGTGGACCACCAAAATTTTCTCATGGACCACCAGTGGTCCCCAGCCAACTGGTTGGCAACCACTGGTCTAAATCACATCAATGGACACATATATCATTCATTTTCTGTGTGTGCAGCTCCATATAATTTATTGTTGAGATATGGTGTTTCTTTTTGCTGCAAATGCTTTCTAATACGTATGTACTGCATTTTATATTTTTTATTACTACAAACTTGGTCCCAGTATTACTGCTATTCTACATGCCATTAGCAACATGAACTTCTTACTAATTTTAATTAACAATAAAACGGCAAATGTCTGCTTATGGATCTTGCATACAGGGGTATAATCCTGTTTCTTAAGGAAGAAAATTTAGAAGAAATTAACTTTGAAACAAACCATGATGGAGAAAAATAAGGTATCTTGAGCAGAGCCTTGTGCTTAAAATCTGAATTATAAACCCAGACACTAGTCACTTTAGGGAACAATTGTTTGTGTTAAAATGGAATGTTCTTTTTGTAACTCAAATCTATACTTTCACAGCTGTTCTATGATCCTCTGCTGAATGAATTATTCACTTGAACCTTTTGTACTTTTTGTGTGTCTCAGCACTTTCTGAATTGCCAAACCAAATGTTTAATACATTTGAAAAGGAATACATTTGCAGGAAGGGAGAAAATATTTCCTTTTATAGCTAGAAGGGCCATAACTGTATTTCACTTTATTGATATTTCTGGGATACTGGAGTCTGCGCACTGAGAAGTCTTTAATCCTAGCAATAAAATATTTGAGATTTTAAATTCAAATCCATAAAATGCTTAAGATTCTGGAGCACTGAGATTCTGAAGCATTGAGATTCTGAGTGGAGATAAGTTCAGACTGCCTTTGCCATTTGTAGTATATCCCACTCTCTTTGCAATAGCTATGTCCAATATTGCCTTCCACTACCTGGGGCAGTATTCAGCAGTAGTCTTAAGCTTCTAATCTTCAAAGCACAGTCCTTTTTTTTACTCTGATTTTGCTTCAGCTACTTACTTCTATGAGTTTTCTCCATTTGCTTTTTTTTTAGTTCTCTTTCCAAAGTTTTAAATGCCAAGTCATTTTCTTTAAGATCTTTTGTTTAAAACATGTTGCCCTTTTTACTTGTGTATTTTCAATTTAAATCTTTCCAGCTTTTTCTTACTACTATAGGTGACTTTCTGCCTTAGTAGTGCTGAAATAGTCTGTGGCCTTGAGAAGACTGCCTCTAATGATGAATGCTGTTGGGAAAGCATTTGATAAGGAATAACTTTGGGTTTGTGGTCATCACTCCATTACAAATTCTTCATCAGAAATATCTGCCAAGAAGCCCCTAAGTTAATTAAAAAAATTGAAAATTATAAATAGGAAGTTGGCATGTGTGTAGCATAAGCAATCTTTCATGCTTATCTTAAAGAACAACTCTTGAGCGTGTACTGTATTGGCATTTTTTGAATATAATAGTGGCTAATCAAAAACAGGTCATGTTAGATGGCATGGGTAATGCACACCTGTGAAATGGAAAAGTTCTTTGGAAGTGCTATGGGCACACTTGATGTACTTGTCAATACTTCTTTCAAAGAAGGTGTATCTTTTCCTGGGCATGCAAAGCAGCCATATAGTCCCATGGAAATATGTGTTGGAGATAAGGAGACGTTAAGGAAATGATCTCAGGGTACAATGATTTTCTCCTTTCCTGTTTCTGCCTTCTTTAACTCAAACATGTATTTTTCCATGTCTACAAAATAAAGCTGCTGTGGAGGCAGAAAAAAAAATGCAGATTATTTCAAAGTGGTGTTTACGAATATGGCAGGTGCAAGCCAAACACCTAAGTATTTTTTCTGCTCTGGATTCATGCCCCTAGATAACATGAAGAATTGGGAAACCATCATGAGGAATGGCTTCACTGTTTGCCTTTGAACACAAAAAGGTGTTTGTGAATAGTAGGTGTCTGATGAATAGGCTACCTTATGACATATCTCAATATTCTAAATGTGCCCCAGCAGCCCACTTAATTATCCCTGATTTAAGCTATTGCATAATTAACAATGTCATATGTTATTACTGGTAAAATTATTAAATTAAAATTATTTTATAGAATCCATTGTTCAAAAATATAGTAAAAATGCTCCTGGATTACATATGTAATGCTTAAAGATATTATAGAAGGAATTCACAACTGAATTTATAAAATCCAAAGATTGGCATGAGAAAAAATGCTGATATAGTCTTTCTGTAGTCAATGCAGTGTTGGGCCTAAGAGCCTGAAGGACTTATCCATTCTGTATTTGTATCAGCTGCAAAGTATGTTCTTGATTAACTTTTCTTAGTTGATTCTTTAGCTAGCCTCGGGAATCTGAAGATTTTAGTCCCTTCAAAAAACTAAATTCATCAATTAAATTATCCCCTGGAATTTATGTGCCCAGCAGTTGATCTAGAAGCTGAAGCAAACACTGTGCAACAAAGGCACTACAGCTGAGGGCTTTGGAACAAAATAACAATAATGGTCTTTTCATTCTTACATGTTAGTTGTCATCGGAAGACTTCTTTACAGTGTTTCAATAAGGCAACTTTACCCCCTTCCCCACCTCCCAAATAGCATTCAGTATTTTGGGGATTATTGCGTGTCAAACGCTGTGCTCAGTGCTTATAATTAATACCATCTTATCTTTATACTTATAAATAGTTCTCTTGCTTTGCCTTCTTCTTAATTGGTTAGCAGTTGTTAAAATCAGCTTTGCACAAAAAAGACCAAAAAAAAACCACAACCTATCATCAAGATTAATATCATTTCTCATGTCTTCAGTTCAAGTAATATCTATTGGAATGTTCATGACCATAATAGCGGAGTGCTCTTCTGAGACTCATTGTACTACTTTAATGCATATCTTTATATAAATGGGAATAAGCATTTCTATGCAGAGTTATGATTATAACTATTTCTGTATTGCTACAGTAGATTACTTGAACTATCAAGATCATAAATTGAAGCACTATGTAGCGTATTATTGCTGGAGTTACACAATTTAGGGAGACATGGAAACAGTTGATTCATTGATATTAACCAGGATATTTTTATCTATTTCAACTTTTTAAAAAATAGGAAAAAATGGAGGTTTAACAACAGATAATAGCTCCTTAGTCAAATATCCATATAACAACTTCGAAAAATCAAGAATGGAAATTAAGATAAATAGGAAGACAGCATTTGGGACAGCAACTCTAGTATTGACAGATTTTGCTAGTAAAGACGTTCTACTGAAACGTAACAGAAGTGAAAGTCGAACTCCAGATGGAGGCTCTCTGCATGATCCTTCAAGAAACAATTTTAATAGTACCAACCACTATGAAGGAAATTCATCAATACCTTTTCCCCGTCAATGTAATTCTTTAAAGCCAGCATCAAAGAAACAGAAAATTGATTGTTCAACTTCATCCGTTGGAAGCCTTACTGAGAAATTTGTAAACAGGTTTGTTAATTTCAACTACATATTGAGGGGTAAAACTGTTTATATGAAAAACTGTTTGTTTGTATTATATTTTTGCTTTGAAATGTGCAATGTTACTTATATTTTGGCAGATACCAGTTCATGAAACAATTTTGTCTGCAGCTGTGTCCTAAAGTGCTATAGGCTTGTGGCCAAGGCAACTTATTAGATCCAAAGAAATGGTTTGAAATGGTTCTTTGCCAGGTGCAGAAAGTTTAAAGCATATACAGTATATATCTGGGATGTACTTGTAGAATGGAAACATTTGAAAAATACTTGAAGTCTGCAGTCTCCAATCACTTAATAAAAAAGCAGCAAAGGAGAGCAGAGTTGGTAGACATAATGGAAGGATGAATAGGAGTTGCAGCCTCACTTCTGTCTTAAAATGTAGAATAGTTCTGGCAAACTGATAGGAAATGCTGCACAAGAACCCTTGGAATAAAATAGTATTTTTAAAATGCGTTTCTATAACTTGTTTAACAAATTGAAATTTTCAGGCTTCCAATAATAACCACTCTCATATGGCATAATAATTTTTTGTATCTGCTTACTGTTGGCCAGCAGCCTTATTTAAGGTAATTTGGTCCCTCTTGGACAAAGAGAAACTAGAGGAACCTCTACATAGCTCCATAGAGGAATATTTTAGACAGCTGGTGGATCTGTTCACAGCTGGGCTCCAGCTGTGCAATTTCCCCTCAGATTCCTGAATGTCAAGGAAAGCAGGAACATTTTACACAGGCAACATCAATAGAATTCTTGTCATTCATTATGCAAAGTTGAGTATCTGAGTGAAGAGAGCCAGCATTGCTTGCACTGTTGTAGCTTTCATAAGATATCTAAAGAAGGTTCCAAATTCCTTCCCAAGTTGTACAGTATAAAATTTGCTCATGTTTTGGTTCAATAGTGTTTACATGGAGTACAAAGAGGTTGCTTCTGAAATACTATCTGGTTAGGTATGCTGACCTTTAGATCTTGTACAGAACATTAGGTTAGGATTAGAGTATGATTTCTGAGTATGATCATTTTTAATCTGTGATTTGTGTCCATTTCTTGTGAAGTCTCACTGACCTATCTGGCCATATGTAAACGGCAGAAGGACGATGTTGCCAGGTAGCATAAATCATGTTGGGGAAATGGACAGATGATTCAGTCCTTAATGGTATCATTGCAGATGAGAGATGAGAGAATGCCAAATTCAGCTGTGTAATATGAGCTTCAGTTTCCTAAGAATAATGAAAGATACTGAATGAAAGAGATATTGTAGAAAAAAATAATTGTACTTTACACTACTACAATTATTAGGGGCAGTCTTATAAGAGATAGCTGTTAGTTGCCATACTATAATGATGGGGGGCAGTATTTTATTGCATTTGTTAACAGTATATACTGTAGGCCTGCTAATGGCATATACAGTATATAGGCTGTGTTCAAAAAGCTTCCTCCAAGCTTGGTCCAGAGGGGAAACTATATAAAAAGCCATCGGGTCGCAGTAATAATGGGGAGAAATGCTGCTTACATATTAATGAACCCTAGAGTGGAATTACCTTAATGCCTTTTGAGCTTGACTAGTAGCATATTTGCCAAAAACCCTGGCTGCTGCAAACCTAAGAAACAAGAAGCAATGTAACCTTGTTTAAACATTAACAGTCAAGCAGATGCCCTTGTGCATTGTAAACAGACACCATCCAGCTATGCTGGTGATGCTAACATCAGAGGAGAGCAAAGCTTTCCTATCACCTTCATAAAATACATTTTTCTGTTCTCCCAGTCAGACTTCTTCCTCTCTGGTATATGATGGGGATCATTAAAGTAGCTTTGATCAAAGAGCATGGAAAATTGTCTTGAAGCAGACAAGTAGATAGATATCCCCATGGTCTGGTCGAAGACACGTGTAATAACTTTCCAGAGGGGAAGAATATAATTGGAAGGAATTGGTTTTCTGGTACATCTTGCTGTTGTCAATTCAGGATGCCTTTTAAACTACATGAAAGTACAAAATTTATGCTAGCTATGCCAGAATGGTACAGTTTACTTATTTTAAAAAGCAGCAAGATAACTTTTTAAAAATTTGCTGCTTCCACTTCATTTCAATAGAATGGGTTTTTGACATGGAGCCCTTCCATTTCATTTTAAAGAGAAAGTAAAGCAGATAAAATTGCTAAGTGCTCTGTTTGATCAGATGTATCATTGAAGCAGAAGAGTTTATATGGGCTTTGGAGCTGTGGTATTGAGACAGAAGATGCTGGTTTTGCTGTAACTAATCTCCTTAACTTTATGCAGGTTTTTATCTTGTTACCTGTCATTACAGAGCACCTCCAGATAATATGACAGATGGCTCTTGCACATTAAATGCTGGCAGACCTCGCTGCAGTAAACACAGTCGCTTCTGTGTTCTTCGCATCGTGAGGAAGGACGGAGAAAACAAGGGCAGGCAATTTTATGCTTGTCCTTTGCCAAGAGAAGCCCGGTGTAACTATTTTGAAGTATGTGAGATTGTATAGTACCATAGATCCTTGAAAAAGATAAATTGGTTTCTCAAACAACGGTGATTACTTATGGATTTCACTCATTCTTTAATTTTAGCATAGTGGGAAATGAATTGCTGTGATGATAGCTTTATCTAAAGAGGTTCTCAGTTCATTTTGGGAAGAATAAATGGATTCTTTGGTCTGTACAAAATTATTTTTTGTATCAAACAGTGAGACTGTTAGGCTTTGAGTTAGTTGTTTACACTAAGGTTAAAAAGAACACTGTTCTTTATAACAATATTGTATTGTTTTATTAATTATTCCATTTCTATCTTGGATTTCTTTCTTACTGATGTACCTCCCCAGCTGTATTTATAAAGGGACTTTGGAAAAGTCTTTTCCATATTCTTTTAAAAATAATTGAAGTTCTAAAAACAAGTGACTTTGTGACTTTATTTTATTGATGCATACTACCCTCTAAGCAAACTTAACTTTCTTTCTTACCTAGCTAGTTTATTCTGAATATTTCCTCAAAATCTTGTTGCTATGTTTTCTTCCTACTTTTAAGGTGCTTTTTAGATTACTGTTGTCAGGTAGTAACTTAACAATAGTATAGTAAGCAAAGACAAGGAGGAAAAGAAAATTTCAGCATTAGCCAAACACTATGAGTACATTTACCATAATCAAAATGATTCAAACTCAGTGTGAGTGATTCAAACTCATATGTTCATACTTCCTTTAATCTTTTATAAGCTAGAAGGAATAACACTGTTAGGCAACATAAAGCAAGAACCTTCAAAGGAGACACAATTCTAGTGTAAGAATGCTTAATCAAGTGTGCAAAGATTCTAGGGCAAAATTAATGTAATAAAACAGCACAACTGAATCCGAGTTCATATTTTCTCAAATGACCTTGACAACATAAAATGAGTACTGATGTTTTTCTTGTATTTGTTCTCTTCCGCTCAGCTTTGATAATAGATTCTCTTCCACCATATGGTAACTAATGCAATGCAGTGTCATTTTGACCTTCAGATTTTCCAAGGGAGAAAGACATTAGAGCTTGGGGAAGTAAGATCTATTGCTCTGAAGCCATAAGCTATCAAGAGTTTTACTTGGATAAATTAAATCTGTGTTTCCTCCAAAAGTCAGATAAGACTTTTTACAACTGTCCTCCCACAAAGTCAAACAAGTAAGAGTTCAGGTAGTGGAGAAAGTTGCTTGGCTTGATTATTGTTAGTCACCACCTACCTTGCAGAATTAATGGGGAGTTTGTTGCTTCCCATCTAAAACAGGAATTTGGCTTCAGCATCTGGTGTTAACAGAAAATGATTTCTCTCTGCAGTGGGCAGACCTGCATTTTCCTTTCTGCAATCATGGGAATCGCTGCATTATGAGGACAGTGCTGAAGATTGGCCCTAATAATGGAAAGCATTTCTTTGTGTGTCCTCTTGGGAAGGATAAACAGTGTGACTTCTTTCAATGGGCTGAAAATGGCCTAGGAATGAAGATTATCCCAGGATGCTGAGCTATTCATCTGCACTGGACTATCTGGTGTTAATCTTCTCAAACTGTGTGTGCTATACTGCTCTTCTGTAGGAGATATTTTAGGAGGGTTATGATCAAATGGCATTTTGTGATTACAAATCCATTTGTGTTATATATTTGAAAGTTCCTTCTCATACCCTTCTTTGTATTTCTGCTATTTTCTGTTCATTATTTGTTGCATTTTATCTAATACTAGAAAATTTCAGACTTAATATCTGAACAATAGGTAGTCTTTTTCTTATCTTAGTTGTTCCCTCATGCACACGTTACACACACATAAACTTGGATATCATTGTTTGTTCATGCCACTTGCTCTTCAATGTTTTTTCTTCTGTCTTTATATAAAATTTTTATTTCAATGCATTTAATATGAATAGATTGTATTACATCTTTTAATCAGTTATGAAAGATTAATATTTTCAATAAAATATCTCAAACAATGTTTGTTTGTTCTTAAAAATAAATAGCATGAGATTGTTGTCAGAACAGAAAAATAGTTTAGATCATTTATTTACATAGCCGCCCATGCCACAGTTGTGATTGTGTGGTATACAGAAGTTTACACAGAAAAAAACCAGCAATTTCATATGCAACATAAACACCCTGAGAACTAATCAGAAATAACAGTAATACTAGTATAACATACATTCTGAGTCTAAAAATCAACTCATTTTCAAACAGTGTACACCAAAGTTGGGAAAAACCCACCAAAAGGCCTAGTTTAACCTTCTGATCAAAATATCTGAAGGAACATCCATATCTTTAATATCATATGAAAGCCCAAATGTTTGGGGGCTACCCAGATTCTGGGAGGGCTGTGATGCATCAGTGGGTGAATTTATGCTGATGGGGTTCTTATAAAACCAATTTGAAAATAATAGACATTAATATGTGACATTAAAAATAAATCAGAATCTGTACTAAAAATAATACAATTGAAATCCATTTTAGATGATGTCAATTCAAATCCGATTTTAAGCACATTTAACTTGGTGCATAATTAGAAAATAACCCCCTCATTCTTTTATAAAAATGTTTTGTGTGCTTCCTTTGCAAATAAAACTGATAAGACATTGTGGTCTGGTTCATTGTTTGTATGGTGACTAATCGTTTAATATTCTGTATAGAGATGCAAAATTCATTGTTCAAAGATGGATTATTCTGAATTATTCTCAGTGAGTTTTACATGCAACTATTGTGATGCCATATTATATCTAACTCTGGAATATCTTACTTTTTTGTAGCTGATCAAGAAGGGATGAAATGTGATTTTCAAGTTTTAATTTCTTTGATCTACTTCTCTGCAGTTTGTTAGCGTGAACTTCTTTTGCCATAATTAAACTGCAGGTAATCCTTAAGACTGCTTGTTTATTGTTGAAGCTACGACTGCAGGAAAAGATTTTTTGAACCATTTTTGAAGTTATGTCTATTGTATCACCCCCATGGTCACGTGATTACAATTTGGGTGCTTGGCAACTGGCTCACATATACAATGGTTGCAGTCTCACAGAAATGGGATCATGATTTGAGACCTTCCCAGAGTGCTTCCAACATGTCGTCAACTGGAGAAGCCAGATTTGCTTAAATACTGTGATGATTTGCTTTAACAATCATGGTAAAAATGGTCATAAAGACAGGTCTGGTCACTTGATGATGCTTAATAATTGTATTGCTTAGCAACTGAAATTCTGGTGCAACTGTGATTTGTTGAAAAATTACAACTTTAATTTTTCATTGTAAGCTCACTTCAATGCTTACAGCACTTAATGGGTTAAAATTCTGGGATATCCTTGAAGTGTTATGCCTACATTCACTGTTTTAAGTGCATTTTTATGCAGCCTGAATCAAGATTCAAGATGTTCTAAGCAATCCTAAGCATACTGCTCTTAAAATCGGTGACAGGGCTTTTACCAAAAAAATAAAATAAATCTGCATGTTTCACTATCAATTACATGTGTTTTGCTTAAAAAGAATTTGTTTTCACAATTTCTTTTACAGGACAAGAACTTCAGTGAATTTCCCAAGTTAAAGTGTGATGTTCTCATGCTGTTACAATGTGGTCATGTGCTGTATATGAATGCCTATCTTTGAACAATAATACCTTTAGCTTCCTGGAATCTTACATTTCAATCAACTCCCGTGGGAACTCTTCCTGTGTATTTCTTTAGACAAGAAGCATGTCAGCAGAAAGCAGTGATGGAAAGACGTATAACAGGAAACAATAACTAGGAATTGCTCTCTGCACCATCTCGAACAGAAAACAATCTGAAGAGAATTTTGACATTCTTAGATATCCTGAAAATTAGAAATATGGAATCTTATTTTGCAAAGAAAAACTAATTTGCAAAACCGCAAGCCCTGTTTTGAATTACATTAAATATATATCCAGTAAAGGAGAGAAGAAAGCTTTGGGGAAGCTTTACCCTCTGTGTATTTATTTTTCTTATAATTTGTCCTAAAGATTTTGGTTATAGAATCAAAAGATTCATTTTGTAACTTTAGTAAAATGAAGATAACGCTGAAGATTATTATGCTGATAGGCAGTCAATTACAACATACATTTCTGTTTTCAAAAGCCTCTATACAATACTGATAGTGTGTTTCTATGTACAGGTTGTCCTTGTTTTATCAGTCACAATTGGGACTGGCAAGTTGTTAAGTGAAATGGCCACTAAGTGAAACCCTCACTGCACTTATGATCCTATTTCAGCTTTCCTTTGCTTTACAGATCTGCAAAAGCTGTAAATATGATGACTGGCTGTAAAGTTACTTCAGACCATTGCTGAATGAAGACTACCTGTATAAGATTGCTCATTCGATATCTTCAGGACCACTTTCTTCAATCAGAACTCATCCATTTAGCACAGGGGTGAGGAACTATGGCCCTTGTGGACTTCAACTCTCAGAATTCGTGAGCCAACCATCCTGCCTCAGGAATTCTGGGAGTTGAAGTCCACAAGTCATAAAGGGGTCATAGTTCCCCACCTCTGATTGAGTGCAACTAGTGCAGTTTAGATTAAGCAATAATCCAATCTGGAAAAACAGGCTGGATTATTGCTTTATCCAAATCTGCTGAATATTTGTATTATTTAAGGTTTATCTGAACTTGCAGGCAAGATGACTTTGGCTGAGATATGCAGGAACTGTGTTTAAGCAAAAGGGGCTGAAGGATTTTTGAAAGCCCAGAACAGTGATAACATTCAGAGTAGCTCAGTCAGTTATCTTCCTGATTCACTGAACTGTAAGAAGGAAGACGTACAGAATAATGCTTTCAGGATTTTGTTATTAAAGTCAATCTCAGTAAAAGTAGTTTTAGTGTTCCTGTTGTTTATTTTTCTTGTCTAGTCCATCTACTGGACAACATAGCTATCTGAGATACATCTCAATTAAAATCAATTATGTCTGAATAGATAGGTATTGATCTGCAGATTTCTAGAGTTAACATAAGTAAACTATTAAGCTTGTGACCAAAATTCTCAGATATCTTAGCAAAAAGTCCATTTTTCATATTATATGAAGCCAAGCAAGCAAAATATATAATAATCAGACTCATTAAGCTAATAATAAATGTAAATGTCCCCTGGCTAATTAGAAAATATGAAAAAGTTATAGATTAAAACAGCTGTTGACAGCTGTCTTATCAAAAAATATAATGCTCTATGCTTTTACATTATATCTGCTAAATTTTCGCTATATCTTACAGCACAGAATGACTCAAAATTTTAATGCCTTTGTAGTTTTAGTAAGGATATCAGCATCAAAAAGACTGGGAACATTAGATTATCTAGAGGACATATTTGCAAAGGAAAAAAAGATTAACAATCATGCCACATTTAGATTTGTTTTTCTGCAATCAATTTGAAAGGGGTAAAGAAAGTAAATATGATAAACATGACAGAAAGACTTAAAAGAGACATAACGTGAGAAAGACCTATGAATTTTGAATTTATTGAAGAACTGTTCATTCCAAATAAGAAATTAGATACGTGTACCAAATAGAAACCTCTTCTTTTTCTTGAAAAAGCATGCAGAAAATGTTTCTTCTCTCTCAACAATCAATCAATCAAATATTTGTTATGGTCGGTGACCAAGATAAGGATGGAATATAAATAATTTTAAAAGCTAACAAATATAAAATATTGTCTCAGCATTATTTGAACCCTGACAAGTGATGCTGATTAGTGCACTGAAACACAATTGTAGTGTAATTACATTGTTCTTGGGCATCCTCTCTAAAAAAGTATAGGAGAGTTCAAGAGGCAATCATTCATGGCACAAATATTATAATATTTATGTAATCAATCATGCTATGATTTAAAACTTATTAGGCTTGTTGTTTAAAAGGGTATTTGAAAGAAAAACCTAGGATGTTCCTATATATTCTAGATTCCAGAATCTGTTAGAGACATTTGTGAAAGTCTGTTAAGAGTTATCTATAACAAATGAAAACCACATTGACATCACTGCCTGCAGTTTCCACATATTAACAAAGAATTTCAGATGACCCAAGAACAAACTGCTGAATGGTTTAAAAACAGCCAGGGCATCTATAACAATGATTGTTGGCTTTAAAATGATTAGCATGTCTGGGAGATCAAAGCCTCATCTTTCTTTATTGTGTGTTACACACATTCTATGTATGTAGGGAGGGGCACGTTTACAATCAATTTTGAAGCCACTATGGCCACTATTCATCACTATGATCCCCTATAGAACCAGGGAAAATATTGCAAACATACACAAACAACAATTGAATTTCAATAATTGAAATTCTAATAAACCAAAGAAGAAAATGCTGTTCCTGAACAGTCATCTCTTGAAAATAATGTCTATTTTGTATTGCATTTGGTTGCTTTAGATTTCTTGGAATCTAAGCAAAATATTGTTGTCATGTGTCCTTTTTCCTAATAATATGATCAGCTTCTTTTAATATCTCCTCTCAAAGAATTGACTTATAAAGACCATTATGCTCCACTTCACCAGACAAACTCATAGAAAAGTAGATTTGTGACTGAGAGTTTCTTAACCATAAGAATATTATAGAAGAACCAATTACCTATATATGTGGCGGATCCTCTTCACTCTGTGAGTTGAAAAGAAGACAATTTATAGCAGGGAGTTTCTTTCTTTCAACTCTTAAGAGTCTAAAAGTTCTACTCATAGATTAGAAATGGAGAGGGAACCTGAAGCTTTGCCTAGCCCAGCAAGGTAGCCAGGCCAATGTCAAGAGATTCTGAATTGTAGTTTAAAACCTTTCTAGAAGATCAAATCCTGAATTAGCAACATATATAAAAAAGTAAGTCTG